CCCAGGAATAGCACATCACTTGTCCTGCACAAAGGGAACCACTGGGAACCCAGAATGGAAAAAACACCATGTGCTTCTTACTCCTGCTGCAAAGGAAGAGGAGAGACCTGGAGAAGGTTGCAACAAGAGCAGTTGAGATGACCACGATTAAGGAGACATGGCTGCAGAGGTCAGACTCCAAAAGGACTCTCAAAGGTCAGTGGCTGGGGGTTGTTAGGGCTCATTCATGATGATGCCTGCTACAAAGAGCTTTAAAATACGCAGCAACTCCAAAAAGTCAACAATGAAAGCACAAACGTCCCAATGAAAAAGCAGAGAGAGGACTGGAGCAGACATTCTTCAAAGGAGACAGATAGCCATTCAGCACAAGAAAAGGAGCTAAACCTTGATCATCATTAAGAAATGCAAATCAAAACTACAACGAGATACCACCTCACACCCATTAGAATGGCCATAGCTAAAAATAAACAGAAAATAACAGGCATTGAAGACATGGCAAAACTGGAACCCTCATGCACGGTTGGTGGGAATGTAAAATGGTACAATCGCTGTGGAAAACAGTATTGAGGTTTCTCAAAATAAATAAATAAACATAGAATTATCATATGATCCAGCAATCCCACCTCTGGGTATACAACCAAAATAACTGAAAGCAGGGGCTTAAACAGATATTTTCCCACCTATGTGCCTGGCAGCATTACTCACAATAGCCTGAAGATGGAAGCAGCCCGTGTGTCCACTGAAGGCCGAATGAATGAACAAAATGGGGTCTATCCAGACAATGAAACACGATTCAGCCTTAAAGAGGAAGGGAATTCTGCCGCATGCTGCCACATGGATGACCCTTGAGAACGTACTGCTCAGTGAAATGAGCCAGGCACAAAAGACAAATTCTCTGTGATTCCACTCACATGTGCACCTACAATTGTGAAATTCACAGACAGCGAGTGCGATGGTGGTTGCCAGGGACTAGAGGGAGGGAGGAATGGGGCGTTCGTGTTCATGGGTTCGGGGTTTCAGTTTGGGACAGTGAAAAAGTCCTGGAGCTGAGTGGTGGTGATGGCTGCACAACAACGTGAACGTGCTTAATACCATTCAATGATGTCCTTCAAAATGGCTAAGATGGCACATTTTATATTATGTATATTTTATTGCATGATAATATTTAAAAGATAGGCAGGGAAGGAAGTAGTGATGAGTGTGGGCAGGGGTTTGAATTTGTGTCCCAGAAACCAGAACAGGCCAGGAGAGAGAACCCACAGGAGAGGCTCCCACACACTGCCCCGCAGAGGGTCCTTCCCCCAGGGCTGTGCGTAGGTACCCAGGGGCCCAGGTTCCTCGAGGGTTGTATGAACTCCCTGCAGGCAGGGCCTGGCAGAATCAGAGCAGCAGAGGATTCCAGCAGATGTCCCCAGGGGCAGGAGGATGAGGCTGCACTGAGGTCCCTGGCCTTATTGGTCAAGGGGTTTAGAGAAGAATGTCAGATAGCACTAGTGCCCTTGGGGCTTCTGGAGCGAGCACTGAATCTCAGATCAGCTTCCTCCTCAGTCTGCATAGAAGGCTGGAAGCGCTGTCAAACAGGGTCCTGAACTGTTGGGGACAGGTTGGGGAGTCTTCCAGTCTCTATTGGCAGGTTGGCCAATAGAGACACTGTTCCCCATTGGCCACCACTGCCATGACGGGAGGACCCGGGTGGGAGGTTTCTGGAACTCAGTGACAACCACCAAGCCGGCATGTGTGACGAGGGCTGGATTTGAAGGAGGAGCTCAAGGCAGTGGGAGAAATGCAGTCTCAGTGGTTGAGGTCCCTCCGCGTTCGTGGCTTTAACTAGCTTGACCCTCTCTAGCCCCTTAGCAGAGACAATGACGCATCGCTGCGTCCCTGCCCACTGGCTGGACCTTCTGTGCTTAATCCCACCTCACTTTCTGCTTCCAGTTCCTCGTTTCAAGCGGAAATCTCACCGTTTCTAACCCTCTTGGCAGGCTTCTGTCTTCTACTCTGAACTTTTCCTGAGACTTCATGTCAGGATTCAATCTCTCTAGTTTTGACCCCTCTGGCTCCTCCCATCCTTGAACCCACCTGGCCTGCTCTGGCCCCTGGGCCTGCTCTATGCATCTGCCTAGACCCTGTCCCCTGTGAGAGAAACTGCCCATGGGATGATGGGTGTTCAGGGCTGCCTTCAGGACGCGGCTTCAAAAGGCAACGGCCCCTGAGTCTCTGTGGTGTGGAGGAAGGTAAGGAATGGGGACACGGGGGACAACCACCCTGCCCCAGAGCAGGCTGCTGAGGAGGTGTCTGGGAGGACTCTCCCCCTGTTATCACAGGCCCCGAGGCTGGACGGGCCTGGTGGTGAGCAACAGTGTGGTGTGTTTGTGTTCTTGTGGGAGGTGGAAGGAAACAAGCCCAGAATCAGGGGAGAATCACCCTGAGTCACCCACAGGACAGTACTCAAGACCCAGCAGCAGCACTGGGCTTCAAGCCACCAGCCATCCTCTCCAGATACTGCTCCCTTGACAGGAGAGCAGAAGCCTCCATTCCACGCCCACCATCAGTGCGTTTTCTCAGAGTGAAGCTCACTAACGTTCACTAGCTGAGTCTTGAAGGGTGCTTAGGGGAGGCAAGAAGGAGGAGAGCCAGGCTCTGAGTCTGCGAGAAGGTGACGCTGAGCACTATTTCTGTACTAAATGCACACGAATCAACTTGCCACTTCCTTAGCTCAGGACTCGTCCCTGTCACCTTTTTTTTTTTTTTTTTTTTTGAGATGGAGTTTCACTCTTTTTGCCCAGGCTGGAGTGCAGTGGCGTGACCTTGGCTCACTGCAACCTCCACCTCCCGGTTCAAGTGATTCTCCTGCTTCAGCCTCCTGAGTCGCTGGGATTACAGCCCCCACCACCATGCCTGGGTAATTTTTGTATTTTTAGTACAGATGAGGTTTCACCATGTTGTCCAGGCTGACCTCGGACTCCTGACCTCAGGTGATCCACCCACCTCGGCTTCCCAAAGTGCTGGGATTACAGGGGTTTGCCACCATGCCCGGCCATCCCTGTCACCATTACACAGCATTATCCACAGCTCAGTGTCTGCAGGGCCAGGCCATGGCCTCTCTCCATGTTCCTGTGAAGAGCCTTCATTGGGATCATCCAGGGCCACAGAGCTTGAACGTGCTGTCCGGCTAGCCCCTCCACTAGGGCAGCAAGGAGAAAGAAGCTTATTTATTTATTTAAAGTTAAAGCAACAGCAACTCAACTAAATAGCAAGGGAACAAATCCAGACAGTCCCCCACTTATGATGTTTCCATTTATAATTTTTCAACTTTATGATGATATGAAAGTGACATGCATTCAGTAGAAACCATACTTCCATGCCCATGCAACTATTCTGTTGTTCACTTTCAGTACAGTATTCAATAAATTACATGAGATATTCAACACATTATTATAAAATAGGTTTTATGTTAGATGATTTTGCCCGATCATAGGCTAATGAAAGTTCTGAGCACACTTAACGTAGGCCAGGCTAAGCTATGATGCCGGGTAAATTAGGTGCATTAAATACACTTTTTAATTTTAATATTTATTTATTTAGAGACAGGGTCTCTCTCTGTCACCCTGGCTGGAGTGCAGTGGCTCCATCTTCGCTCACTGCAACCTCTACCTCCTGGGCTCAAGTGATCCTCCCACCTCAGCCTCCTGAGTAGCTGGGACCACAGGCATGCTCCACTATGCCCAGCTAATTTTTGGATTTTTAGTAGAGATGGGATTTCGCTATGTTGCCTAGGCTGGTCTTGAACTCCTGAGCTCAAGTGATCTGCCTGCCTCAGCCTCCCAAGGTGCTGGGATTACAGGCATGAGCCACACTGCCTGGCCTAAAAATACTTTTGACTTATGGTCTTATCAACCAACAGTGAGTTTATTGGGACATAACCCCATCGTAAGTCAAGGAACATCTGTAAATCAATTAAAAACTGGACACAGGACCGGAATAGACGTTTCTCAAGAGAAGACATACAAATGGCCAATAGGTGTATGAGAAAATGCTCATCATTAATCATCATGGAAATGAAAATTAAAACCACAATAAGATAGCGCCTCACACCTGCCAGGATGGCTAAGGATGTGGAGAAAAGTGAACCCTTGCACATTTGGTGGAGATGTAAGTTAGTGCAGCCATTGTGTAAAACAATATAGAGGTTCTGCAAAAAATTAAAAATAGAACTCCCGTATGATCCAGCAATCCCACTACTGGGGATATATCCAAAGGAAATGAAATCAGTATGTGGAAGAGATATCCGCACTCCCATGTCATTGAACATTTTTCACAGTAGCCAAGATGGGAGTATCCATCAATGGATGAATGGATAAAGAAAATATGATGTATATACACAATGTAATACTGTTCAGCCTCTAAAAAGAAGGAAATCCTGTCCTTTGTAACATGGATGAACCTAGAGGACATTAGGTAAGTGAAATAAGCCAGGCACTGAAAACAAAACACAGCATGATCCCAGTTACATGGGGAATCTAAACAAGTCAAACTCACAGAAACAAAGAATAGGATGGTGGTTGCCAGGCGTCAGGGGCTTGGGGGGCTTGGGGAGATGTTGATTAAAAGATTAAAATTTTCATTTAGACGGGAGGAAGAAGTTCAAGACATCTATTGTACAACATGGTGACTATAGTTAATATATGGTATACTTGAAAATTGCTAAGAGTGTATTTTAAGTATTCTTATCACAAAAATGTATGTGAGGTAATGCACAGGTTAATCAGCTTGGATCAGCCATTCTACGTGTCAAAATATCAAAACTTGCTGTACACACAAATATATACAATTTTGTCAATTAAAAAAGTTACAGATTTTATTTTATCTAGACAAAAACAAGAGATATAAGAGAACAAACTAACACCAGCAGCCACTGTGACCACTTGAGCCCACCCATGGGGGGATGGTTACTTTACGTGTGTTGTATCTTATCTGGCTCTCTCTCTCCAACCCTGCAGGGCAGGTGGCATCTCCTCAACCATGAGGGAACAGAGGCTCAGCCAGCACGTTGAGGCACCAGAATTCAAAAGCCCAGTATCCTCCCAGGACTCCATCAAAGCAGATGTGCAGAGGGCAGGAAGGGCCTGAGCAGAACCAGCGCCCCTGGGGGGGGGGCCCACGGAACCTTCAGGAAAATAAGACAGGCACAGGAAAGAGATGTTGAGGGTCTGAAGACAAAGCCACAATGAAAGCCACCATTCTGGGTTTGGGAATGTAAAGAACTTCAAACCAGATAAATGAAGACTGCAGAAGAAAGAGGAAGAAATGGAAGTTGCTCTCTGACAGGACAACATGAATTTGGCAAGGGGTGGATTAGGCCGAGTGCTATCCACGGTGATGAAACGCAGCAGCCGGTGGTCATGAAATATTTATGAATGGGGAGAGGATGCTGCATTCTGCAGTGCAGCACAGGGGAAAGCGAAGTTTCCAGAATACTGTAATAGCAAAACCCTCTATTCATTATCGGAAGCAAGCTGTAATGCCAGTTCCTATGGCAACGGGGTCCCCAATGGATTTTGTGCTTTTTTTTTTTTTTTTTTTTTTTAAAGCTACTCCCATTTACTATGGTACATTGCATTTGTTTTCTACTGGAGGTTTTGTGCTTGTCCTCTGCAAATGAATTCATACTGTCCTCACAGTGGCTGGTGTGGAGACCGACAGGCTGGGGCCTGGGGAAAGTTAAACATTATGCAACTTTGAGCTAAATGTTTTGTAAGGACATTGATGACTGCTACCAGCACTTTCACTTCTGAGGGGAAAAGAAGGGGAGGGCAGGAAAGAGGTGGGGAAGGGAATAACTAAGGTGCATGGCTAATTAGAGGGCATCTATCCCAGCCCCTACAGGCATGATCTTTGCAACCCAGGCTTGCACCAGGGAAGAGTCCTTGAACCCAGCCGGGCTCTCCAACAACGTGCCTGCTACAGCTGCAGTGGAAGCTGATACTTGCACAGAAAGCTCAGACACAGAGTCCTCTGGGGTAGGGGTGTTGGAGAGAACAGTGGCTTGGTTCCCAGGGGAGCAGGCTGCCCCTCCCAGAGAAGCGCTGCAGGCCTCCTCCACCTGTAGGCCAATTCCTCTGCACCACGCCCCCATTACTTATCACTTCCCCCTCAGTGTGAAGTGGGAGTTTAATTCGGTGGTCCTTTGAATGCGGGTCTTCCAGGGGAGATGTTTCTGTGATTGCCTGGCCATGGACTGCTGTTCACAGAGACAGTCTGTCCCAGGCCACAGGAGCGCCTCAGAGCCTCTCTGGGGCGTGGGTGAAGCGGTCAACAGCGGCTTCCTCCATCTTGCCCCGGACAGCTTGATGACGGAATAGTCCGCCACTCACTCAGAAAGAGGCTGCCTCCAGGGGGGCAAAATTGTACGTGTCCCTCTCAGGGCTGCAGCTGTGACTTGGGAGGTGTCCTGTCTCTTTGGTGGCCTCATGAGGGCTGTGTGGGTCCTGATAAATGGCATAGGATGGGGAGTCCCCTTAATGGGGGCCAGTACAGGTCTCCTGTCCATGGGGCTATTCCAGGCTAAAAATAGATTCTACCGCTGCAGAATGACTGTGCTGGCTCTACTGTGCTTTCTAAGTCACCAAAGGGACTCACAAGCATGTGTGAGCAGAACTGGGAGGATGCCAGAAGAGGGATGAAATAACAATTGTGTATGCATATCTTTCTTTTTGTGGAATTCTACCTGGAGCCATAGGAATGCGACTTACCACTCATGGGAAAGGCTTGCCCAGAGCCAAGGAGGAGCTGCGGGGACGTTTCTCCCAAGTCATCCGTTCTCCGCATTTAGACTTCATCCTTAGGACGGACCTTCAGGCCCCCAGGCTGCCTACTGACCTCCCTGGCATGGGTGGGAACCGGGAGCTCATTGGTAAGCAGGAGGATTCAGGACTATCGACTGAACCCCACTCCTCTGTGGCACGCACCGTGCTGTGACTTTGGGGTCATCATCTCTCATCCGCTCTGCACAGGAAGATTATCTCCCCCACTTTGTAATGAGGAAATGGAGGCTGCAGGAGGTAAGTCACTGCCCAGGCCACACTGCTCCTCAGAGGCAGAGCTGAGATCAGAACCCACTTCTGTCCGACCCCAAAACCTGTGCCAAATGCCTTGCTTGATGGCCTCTTGCAGGGAAGGGCAGTGTCCCATTGCAGCCAGGCCTTAGCCCAATACCAGGCTCTGCAGGCTCCACATCGCTTTCCCAAGGCCCAAAGGGGGTACACCACAAAATGCTGGGGGTGTAGGAAGAAGATATCAGAAATTCTAGTTACGGTTTCCTCTTATCCTAGTAAAATACCAACTTTTATGTCTGCATTGTGATGCATTTATTAGCTCAGTAGCACATTTATAGAATTTATAAATCAATAAACCTTCACATTGTGGAATACGTACTCAAGTTTATTTTACTGATATTGGAAGTGAGCAAAAAGACTAGAGTCTCATGTTCAAGAGAGTGACCAGGGTCCACCCCAGGGCTCCTCGGGGGCCAGAAAGGACGGCTTGCTGAGGGCGGCCTCATCTTCACTTGCAGCATTATTGGTTCCCCGGGATCCTTCCAGGCCCGCTCGACTCTGATCTCAGTCCCCTGTGCGTTTCTGTAGGAAGCTCGCTTTTTACTAGACCTGAGAGTGCAGGAAAGCCCTGTACCCTTGGGAGGCTGGCTGTGTGCTCTGCTGCTGTTTACTCTCTATTGGGGCTCTCCAGTGGTCCAGTGGGCACTACAGGAGCACAGAGAGAACGGGGGGAATGGAGAAGAGGGAGTGAAGGGCACACACACTTAGACCCCACCGGACCCCTACAGAAGGCCTGAGGGGACAGCCCTTTCTGAAGTGATGCCTTCCTCTGTTGGGAAGCCAGGAGCCTCCCCTGGTGGGATCCATGAAGCCCTGGGGGTGGGGCAGGGTATGTGAGATGGGCACAGAGCCCCTTTTGTTTCCTTCTCAGGCCAGAATCATAACTGTCCATGTATTCCTTAAAAACAGAGAGGGACCCTCTCCTTCCCCATCCATCAACAGCCTTCAGTGTCTAATTACATGCATGGAGCTTCAGTTCCCTTCTCTGTAAAATGGGGCTAATACTAATAAGACCTCTTCAGGGCGGTGTGGGAAGTCAGTGAAACTCCAACATCTCCAAAACCACCCAGCAGATCATAGGATCTTGAAGTAAGCACAGTGTTTGGCATACAGTAGGCGCTCATCAATGCTGGTTCCTTTCACCCTCTGCCACTTGCTGGCTATGTGTGACTTAACATCCCAATGCCTCAGTTTCTTCATTTTGAAATGAAAGATGATGGCTATCATCAACTTCAGACGAGATCAGGCACGTTCAGGGTGGTATGGCCATAGACCCCAACTTCAAAACAACAGGCACATCTACTCAATTCAGGTAGCACCCACCAACTGTGCCATGGGCTGAAGAGGCAGGAAGAGCATGGTGTGAGCCCACGGCTTCGGCTCCTGTTGCTCACTCTCTGCATATCCTTGTGCAGTTATCTGGGGTCACGTGCTGGCCTTTTTGAGTCTCAATTTTCTTATTTGTAAGCTGGGGATAGTCATATCTCATTAGATTTTTAGGAGGACTAAATGGGACAAAAAATATAAAATGCTCAGCACCAAACTTTGTCTATGATCAGTGCTCAACAAATATTAGTCACTGGTAAGAGCAGAACCACCTGCATTATGACACTGTCATTTCTAGGCCCCCATGAGGATTCTCATTTACTGGTCATACCAGCCCTGCACAACGGACACTATTGCTTCCATTATACAGATGAGGAGACTGAGGCTCAGAGAAGCTAAGTAACTTCTTCAGAGTTACCCAGGCTGGGCACAGTCACTCATACCTGTAATCCCAGCACTTTGGGAGGCCAAGGGGGGCAGATTACTTGAGGGGAGGAGTTTGAGAACAGTCTGGCCAACATGACAATACCCCATCTCTACCAAAAATATAAAATTTAGCCGGGCATGGTGGCACATGCCTGTAGTCCCAGCTACTCAGGAGGCTAAGGCAGGAGAATTGCTCGAAACAGGGAGGCAGGGGTTGAACATGCCACAGCACTCCAGCCTGGGCAATAGAGCAAGACTCTGTCTCAAAAATAAATAAATAAACAAACAAATAAATAAATAAATAATAAAAATTCTGCCCAGTTGCCCAGTGACAGAGCCAAGTCTTGCTTTCCAAGCCTGGGCTCCCTCTCCTACACTAACTACCTGGCTCCATGCTGCCCAGTCCTGGGCTGGCTGCAGGAGGCTGCTGCACTACCCACCTCAAACCACACAAGCACTGGCAGTAACAAGAGGCCATAGAGAACCTAGAGTTCTCCAGTGGGTGTGGTTGTCTGGCTGCCGTGGGCTGCCAGGGATCCCTTAGATTGCAGACGCCGCAGTTCTTTCTTGCCACCTCCGGAAGTGAGGCTGCAGCGCCATGAGCCAGGCAGCAGGAAGGGAGGAAGTCTCGCTTCTTGCCAGACATATTGTTTAACTGCAACAGTCAGTTCTCCAAAAGCTCTGCCGGAAGTCCACCCCAGAAACTCCAGGGAAGAAACTGACTGCCTTCTTGGGGTTTTCTTAACTGTGCTTTGTTTTTCCGCTCTGCAGGAAAGATGCAACCTGGGCCAGAGGCCCCTGGAGGCTGTGCCTGACCCCAGACAGCTCAGACGAACCTGGGCAGCCATTAGCAGCTGTGTGGGCTCCTTTGCACTGTGGGGCTGCTCCTGGGGTGAGAGATGTCTTCGTTGTATATGGGGTTCGGGGGCTGAGCTGGCTCACTTGCAAAAGACACACTTGGCCCAGCCCTGGGCAGCATCCAGCCTGCTTAGGTGGCTTTCTGTGGGCTTGGCCACAGACACTGAGACCTTTCTCTGTTTCACTTCCTTGTGTCAGCTTGGCTGTGTGTGAACCAAGGAATCACAAGCACACACCTCTCTGAGCTCACACTTGTATAAAGTTGGACTGAAGAGCTTGGTGAATCAAAGTTCAAGAAGGGTGACTTGGCCAGACTTGGTGGCTCACTCCTGTAATCCCAACACTTTGGGAGGCTGAGGGGGAGCAGATCACTTGAACCCAGGAGTTCAAGACCAGCTTGGGCAACACAGAAAGACCCTGTCTCAAAAAAAATTTTTTTTAAATTAGCTAGGTGTGGTGAGGTGTGCCCGTATTCCCAGCTACTTTGGAGGCTGAGGTGGGAGGATTGCTTGAGCCTGGGAGGTTGAGACTGTAGTGAGCTGTGATCACGCCATTGCACTCCAGCTTGGGTGACAGAGCAGGACCCCATCTCTTAAATTTAAAAACAGGAAGAGAAAGGAGAAGGAGGAGGAGGAGAAGAAGAGGAAGAGGAGGAAGAAGAAGAAGAAGAAGAGGGGGAGGAGGAGGAGGGAGGAGGAGGAATGAGGAGGAGGAGGAGGAAGGAGGAGGAGGGGGAAGGAGGAGGAGGAGGAAGGAGGAGGAGGAAGGAGGAGGAGGAGGAAGGAGGAGGAGGAAGGAGGAGGAGGAGGAGGAAAGAGGAGGAGGAGGAGGAGGGGGGGAGAAGAAGGAGAATGGAGGAGATGGAGAAGGAGGGCACCTCAGAAGCCCTCAATAAAAACAGGGAGGAAGGTAACGAAAACATCAAAGCTGCTGAGTCTGGTGCCAGGAGCAGGGGCCTTAAAAGCTGCGTGACTTTGTCATTTGAGTTAACCTCTCCGATCCTCAATAACTTCTTTGTGAAGTGGGAATAAGATTTTTTTGTGAGTTTGTTCTGAGACTCATAAGTAACGTACGTAAAGTTGTTGGCTCCTGGTCTCTTTTATCATCTGGGGTTAAGCTTAGAAGTGGGCACAGGTGCTGGCAGCTGTGGAATGATGGGGAGGTTGCAGGGTGGGTCCCCTGGTCACAGAGAGCTCCTCACTGCCAGGGCTCAGGCGCCCTCTCACTGGAAAGGCCTCACTGCCAGGGTTCGGAGCTTCCTTACTGGAGAGAGACTCCCTGAGTGTTGCAAGCTACATGGACAGACCATGTGAGATCAAACGTCCAGACCCCTGGGTCGAGTAAATCTTGGGCCAAGATTGTGTGGCTTTAGGGGACATGATGGAGCCTCTCTGGGCCTCAGCTCCTCCTCTGTAGACTGGGGACTGCGGTGGTGTTAATGGTACCTATGCATACAGAGATTGACAGGTACTGATGAAACAGAGCTAGGCATGTCTGTCTCATGTCAAAGGGCTTTCAAACAGCTCTTATTTTTAATAAAAATCATTATATCAGTATACATTAATATATAATTATATTATGTTAATATATAATAATTATATATTAATTATTAAAATATAATAATAATTATTAGCTAGCCCTGGGAGAAGGTTATCATGAATTTTTTTTGGAGGGAGGTCAGATGACAGCTCGTCAAGGTAACAGAGTGCAAGAGAAGAGCCTGCCTCGGTTGGGGGTGGTCAGGGCCTGGGCACCCCAGGGAGACACAGGGGCGCCTGGGGGAGGACTGAGACCCCTTCTCTTGCTCAATCAACTTTTTCAAGTCAACAACGACATGTGTGCCAGGCTCTAGCCCTTGATCACAGCTTCCCCTGAGAGGAACATCTGTGGGATGTCTTGCAAGGCCAGGGGGATCTGGAAATACATCCCTTCCATAGGCTGCACCCCATCGTCAAAAGGAGACCTCGGGGGCCCACCTGCCCCTCCGGCCTGCCCCTGTCCCCAGCCCAGAGAACTGAGCTGAGCCACCTGTCTGTGCTACCAAAAACACACCCTGTCTGTCCCAGCTTGAGTTCCACAGAGTAAGTTACCTGAGGGGCATGTGCTGGCCAGAGGCCAAGTGGGTTCATCCATCTGCCCAGGGCAGCGTTTTAGAACAGGGACTGGAAATAGTGTCCAGGTTGTAACGAGTTTTTGGAAGAGGGGAGGGGTGGAGAACAGAGGAGGAGGGGGCCGGGGAGCGGGAGAGAGGAGTCACCTGAGGCTTCTCCTCTCCGGCGTTTAATGGGGAAATGAGATATTTCCCAGGCAATTGCTTTTAAGTGACTATTGAAATTAATGCCTCGTTCCAGCAGCACATCTTTGTTAGAACATTAGCCTCTCAGAGGGAGCAAGAAAATGAGAAGGGAAGAAAAAAAAAAAAAAAAACCTACCTGAAATGAGCCCAGCAGAGAAGGCTGAGGACAGAGGACGTGGGGCCCCGGAGTGCTTGGGGGTGAAGTGACTCTGGGATCATGCCAGGGGCCTAAGCGCTGAGGAGCCTTGGTGGCCTGGGGAGACTGTTCCGCCTGAGGGCCACCCTCCTCTGCCACCTGGGGCTGGGGTATGGTGGCTGAGTGACAGGACGACTTGGGGTCCACTGGATGGGCCCTGGTGAAGTCCCTGCTCGGCCTGTGGGCCCCCTGGCCTTCTGAGGTGGCGGGAAGGCTCTGGGCCCGCATGTGGTCTCTCACAGGCTTTGGGGCCACATTCGCAGTTTCTCAGTTTCCCCGACATTGGGGGTTCACTGAGATGTTAGGGACCCCCGTAGTGATAATAACCGCTGAGACTTATGAGCGCTGCCTACCTGTGAGGCACAGTCCTGGGAGGAGCAGCCTGGGTTCCTACTGGGGAGAACCCCTTGAGCCAGCGTGAAGGCCGTGACCTTCCCAGGTCTTACTGGTGGGGATTTCTCAGAGCCGAGACACATGCCTTGGTTCACTTGAGGCCTGAAAAGGCTCCTGTTTGTTCTTTGATTTGGGTGGGGCCGGGGGTTGCATTTCCCCCCTTTTTTTTTTTGCTTTGCTTCTGTGCATGTATAGAATTGAGCCAAATGGAATAGACGCTTTAAACTCTGAATGCATTTTGCCATTGTTTTTTTAAAAAGCTTGTTCTCATTTAAACTCACAGCATCAGTGAATGAGAGTGTTTATCTTACGATATCCTCACCAGCTTTATGTATTATGCTTTTCAAATTTGTGTCAATTTTAGAGTGGGAAAATGGTTGTGAATGTGAACTTATAAAAGAAATAATTGTTGGCTGTTGTGAAAAATAAATATTTGTGTTTGTTTCCTAAAAAGTAGAGTTGGATCCCTAAGAATACCCAATATTGTCAAACAACAGCAGGCAGCTAGGTGCGGTGGCTCACACCTGTAATCCTAGCCTTTGGGAGGCTGAGGCAGTGGATTACTTGAGGTCAGGAGTTCGAGATCAGCCTGGCCAACATGGTGAAACCCTGTCTCTACTAAAATACAAAAATTAGCCAGGGTTAGTTGTGGGCACCTGTGATCCCAGCTACTCAGGAGACTAAGGCAGGAGAATCACTTGAACCCAGGAGGCAGAAGTTGCAGTGAACTGCGATCATGCCATTGTACTCCAGCCTGGACAACAGAACAAGGCTCTGTCTCAAAACAAAACAAAACAACAAAAAGCAACAGCAGCCACCTGCTCCTTGAGCAGCCTTGAATGTCTATTCTCCGGTGAGCTCTGGTAAGGAAAATCCTCTTGGGATTTGCTGCCGTCCTCCCCTCCAGGGCTGGCACACAGGATGAGTACTCCAGGCTGGATTTAATAGAGATGCAATCGGATACCTGCGACATGGACTCCAGCTGGAGGCTAGCACGCTCTGTCCTGCTTTGGAAACTAGAGCTAGAGTTTGGGCATGAAGTCAGCGCAGCTGATACAGTTGTCAGGGGGAGGGGGGTTGGCTGGCTGTGATTCTGAGCCACTGGGGCCACTTGGGAAGGTTGGCTTTGCTATGCTGCAGTAGGAACTTCTTGGACACGTCGTACCCAAAGTCTGGATATTCCCTTGCTGGGCTGCGTGCATCCAGGATGAGCTAAACCCTGGTCCCACCTGCTCTGACCACAGCCCTCTCCGGAGCCTCTTCCAAGCCTCAGTGCTACTGGGTGAAATTGACAGAGAGAGACGCTTTTAGGCTTGAGGAAAAGGACAGTCGCTGGATAACCAGAGCTGTGGAAAATAGGGACAAGGCTTGACCAGGCGAAGCCATCGACTTGGGAGAAGGCAGGAGAAGCTTGGGTCAGGTGGGGCTCCAGAGGGGCTTCTTGTCCCCAGAGGGGCCTTGGACCACAAGGTCCCGAAGCTCCCCTGATTCCAGGATTCTGCAAAAGAGTGAACCAAGAACAACCTAGAGCGCTGGTCTCTGAATCAAAAAACACACAGCACCTCAGGCCCAGAGCTGGGCATGGAGGGAACAGGCTGGTATGCACCTGTGTGACCCCGGGCATGTCACTGGGCCTAACGTCTTCACCTAGAAAATGATGGCTAGGGCGAACTCGGAGGAATGATTTTATTTTGGGCTTTGTGCATGCAGCCAGGTCTATGTGAGCCACAAAGAGAACTCCTCCCTCTCTGCATCTTCCAAACCTACCAAAGAAGAACCGAGGCTGACAGAATAGAAACGGGGACGCTGAGGAGGTGGGACTGGAGGCGTCCTCGTTCCTTTCTTGGTATGGCCTGAGCTCCCTCTGCCTCCAGACAGGCCACTCCTTGGGCTTCCATTTGCACATCTTATCCCTTTGATGGTAGAACATGCCCTATCTGCTCGCAGGTTTGACGAGAAGCAAACATTTGGTTCCACTTAGTGGGTTAGCTCAGGGCCACTGCTTCCTAGGTATGATTTCACTTAGTCCTTCACACAAATCGTGAGGTTGACATCATGTTCACCCCCATCACACAGATGAGAAAACCAAGGGTTAGAGGATAGGCAGTGAGGGGCAGGCAAAGCCAGGGCTCAGATCTAATCTGGCTTCAGAGCCTCGCCTCTCTCATAAATAGAATATTTTCTTCTAAAAGTCATAGCACTGTCTTTGGGGTGGGGTGGGGCATGGATTTTCTTGTTGAAAAACATCTAGAGCTCTCATATGGAAATGGGTCCACAGAGGCAAGGAGCCTGGCCAGGGGTTGCAACACTGATGGATGGACACTTTTGGAAGGTGCTGGGAACGGGCGTGCGGTCAGAGTCACCGGCCACTGCTCTCACCTGTACGTAGTATTCAGTACTGGTCCGTGTACCCAGCCAGTTACCTCACAAGTCCACAAGAGCAGGCACATG